TCTCTGTGCAAAATATGGCATAAAATACTTCCAATAGTAAGAATATTTCATTAATCAGACACACTTTGATGCCATAAAAGTAGGATGAAAACAGATATCATTACAGAAATAAGACAATAACATTCATTTGCGTTGTTTCTGCGTTGTGTATGAGTATTCTCCTCATGACATGAAAGCCAAAATATTCAACTTGGTCATATCAGCTAAAAATAACCTACTGTAGGAATTCTGGTATAAAAATCACATTTGACTTCACACAGCAGTTTAGTACTTGACTAAAAAGACCTAAATACAATTGATAGAAAATAACTTTAAACATTGTRGGGTTTGGGGTTTTCTTTTGGCTTTTTTCTGTTTCTATTACTCTGCCATTATTATTTCTGCTTTTATTGTTGTATTCCTGTTACAGAATCACAGAATGGTTGAGGTTGAAGGGGACCTCTGGAGACCACCTAGTCCAAYCACCCTGCTCAAGCAGAGGCACCTACAGTCGTTGGCCCAGGACTGTCCCTGGCGTGGGGTGGTCCTGACAGCCAGTGCACAAATCTGTTCCAGGTTTTTATAGTAGCACTACTGAAATCAAGGTGAAGAAGGATATTTCTACTCACCTAACTGGAAATACAGTCAGAATCAGATTGTTTAACCATTTTGGAAGCATATTGCAACAGTGGATCATTTAAACAGACAAAAATGCCTCTTTTTTCTAGGGCGARTTCCAATATTTCTTTGAGCATACTGTTAGCAGCCTTGCTCTCTGTATTATCTTAATTTCCATTTTGAAATTTTGCTTCGAGTGTGCATTTCAGAAAAGTTCTGCAATCCAAAATTTACAGTATTTTATAATCACAAGTAAGATTAATCTTACCTAATAGTAGTTGTCTAAAGTTACAGTCTAGTCTTAGCAATTGGGAGTTAGGCACTCCCAAAGGGCAACTCATCCTATATTATCTCTGCTTTTGTTCRAAAGATATCTTCCATGGCGAAGCTCAATGGCCTATTTCACGCCTGTAAGTGGTTACAATGAGATCAGTGAAATTACAATCACTTACTGCAAGTCTGAGTGTTGTGCCAAGTGTTATATAAGTGCATTATCCTATTTTTGAAATACAGAAAGATATTTCAAAGTTTAACAGGAAAGATACGAGGGTGCTTATCAGTCACACAAGATCTCTTAACACATTGTAGATGATAACTTAGTCCAACTGATTATATCATTTGCATGCCATCGGCACTGATTTTTTTATCAGGTTTCCAATATGAAATGTGATATTTGATGCACTTGCCATAGGAAGGGACTCACTAAAGTTTATCAGTTATTTTCACTTTGAGGTGGTGGAGCATTAATCAACAGAATAATATCAGGTTTACAGTAATTGAGGTTGAATCTAAAATTTTACAAATCTTTAATTACAACCTTTTGAACATAAACCACAATACACAAATTACCCAATCATAACATCTTTTTTCATAAAAAAATAAGAATTCATCCAAAGAATGGAAGATTTAATGACTCTTGGCAGAGTTCCACTTTTTGGTTGATATGAGAATAAAAGCAGACGGCAGCTTCATTTTTAATTTCAAGAAACACAGTATTTTTTGACACTTAAACAGCATTCTATTTGACTAACAAGCCAAAATATATATTTTCAAAGCCTTATAAAAAGCCCTTCTATTTAACAGTATGAATGCTGAGATTTATGAACCTCTGTGAGTAAACCCTCTTCCTTCAAGCCTTAGAAAACTTGACAAAACAAGCAATTTAAGGCACAAGCACCAGAAACAACCAAAATTTTTTTGTGGTTTGTGGTGAGTTTGTAGTAGAGTCACTCTCTGTTGTGTTTCTAAGCCCTCGGAGCTTCTTGCTTTCTGGTCTACTCAGTTAAGCTTGGAAAGAAAGTAGTGATATCACAATCAGCTACAGATCCTTTATTTCCTCTGGRTCCTGATGGATCCTAAATTGCCAAGATTTGGGGTTACTGCCAAAATTCATCTCCACTTTGTGTGGCCCAGAGATTGGAATGGCTCTTGGCACAAGGGGCCACGCCATGACCATACCTGTACTGTTCTCTTTGTAAGGACTGAGGCATCTTCTCTTTTATGGTTTTTGCTTCCACCTTGCCAAAGAGACGCAAAGGCTTCAGTGAAAATTAATATATTAATTATTTCTTCAGGCAGAAGGTAAACGTTTTCAGTTATATAAACTCATGGAAAATTTAAAAGTTTTCAACATGAATCATCTAAAAAAAACCTGCTGATGCAGTAAAAAAATAGTTAAGCAAATAAAAAGAAAACTTAGGCACAGCACTGAAGAGGCTGCTGATCAAATTGAGCCCCTCAGAAATAGCACATACTAAGCCAACAAAAGAAAGCAGGGGCAACTGGCCAGACTGAACTTTAAAGTCATTTAGACGCACACAAAATAAAACGCCTGAAATACCAATTCACCCTGAGTATGTAAAGACACCAGATTCCCTAAAGAATATTTATACATCAAAGTCTGGGCCTGACACAATCAGGAAGGGCTTGTTTGTACAGCAGGAGTAAATATACCCATTTCCCAGGAGCTCTATCTTTGCAAAACTCCCACTATTGCCAGAGCAGATAGAATGAGAGATGAATATTTGTAGAGCACTGCGTTGCTGCTAAACCGACTCTGCACTGATAATTTAATGCATTAATGAATAATAGGRAAAAAAAAGGAATTATAACTGACCCAAATTTATATATTTCAAAAGTGACATTTATTTCCTTCTGACTGATTCTATGCATAGATAACTGAGTTTCCATTTTCCCCTGAAACTATCTCCTGGTTTCCTAAGAAAACTGACATAATCCAAAATTATGTTGTGGTATGCACTAAATCTGAATTTTCATCAGTTTCTTTTATGCTAATGGTAAGTTATAAAAAGTTTCTATTGGTCTTACATACTCTTAAGCATGAATAGAGATAACATGGAAGGTGCCAGTTCTTAGAACATTAGCTAAGACTAGGGGAGACATAAATTTCCCGGGCTAATTGCAAACTAAATATATTCTCTCTCCTTTGCCCCTTCACCTGTGGATATAGGATAAAGGATTCAACAAGCATTCTTAATTTCAATAATTTTACAGCAAATATGTAACAAACTCTGCAACATGTCGTCACCAGAACATCTGAGTACCGTGTTCGCTGCACGTCAGGCAAGACTTGCAACCATGAGAGAGAGGCCAGAAGGAAGCAAGGAGAATGAGTAGAAGTTTGGAAAATAGGACCGGTGGGAAAATATGGGRAAAAAAAATAGTAATTCTTTAACCTAAGGAGAGAAAGGCAAAGGGAAGATATGATTAAGAGTTTTCCATTAAATAAAAGAAGAAAGGAATAATCTGTCTCCTGGCACAGAAGAAGAATATCCATTTCAATGTCCAGTTTAGCTCTGCTTTTTAATAATTTCACAGAAACAGAATGCAAGACAGAGCAGCAGTCTGGACATATTGGCCTATTTCCTTTAGGGATACTTAAGACTACAAGATAAGAAGAATTTCAGGATTATATGTTAAAAATAAAAGTCTTTTTTGTAATCTCTTCTTTGAAAAAGGTAAATCCAACCACTTAGGATGGACTAAGCAGAGCTAACATCAATGTTAAGGTGGTACTCAAAAGTGTAGCAATATTCCACTCTATGCAACGTTGTATATTACTTTTGGATGATACAAAGGGGTGGATTTCAGCAGTAATATAATTTAGTAAAATATTCAATAATTAGTTWAATTGCTTTGGTCAGGTACGGTGCCCTAAACAATCACTTGGCTGACATGTAGCAAAGGAGAGTGAAATTACAAACGAAGCATACACAATATTATTACCACTCTTGCCAATACATTATTTTAATTAGAAAGTAAATGAAGTTATTAATTTTATTCATATTTGTCTTTTGGAGATGGTTGAATATGCAAAGCAACATCACAGCCTCATCATGCTTAAATAAACACRGAGATATTATTGTCAAAATACACAAGGTATGAAATTTACCTTTGGACCTTTTTAAAACAAAATTAATTTTATTGTTCAAAATTGGTATTAAAYAGATTTGCAATGATCCACGTTACTTCATGAATAATCTGATGGGTGCTACTGTTCCTTTTTGTAGCATTGTTGCTTCACATAATAAAATAGATTTCTCAGCTTGGCCATCTGATTCATTTTATAAGCTATTTTCTGACACAAAAATCATAACTATTGTGAAACAGCATCCCAAATATTTTTTAAAAATAAATAAGCATTGCCTGAACTTCCAGAAACAGCCTAAAAATAAGATACTATTTATTACTCACTGCATCATTTACACCTTTTATATAATGTAATCAAAGGATTTAAATAACTCAATTTAATATTTATCCAGGAACTGGCAGCCAGTATTCCACCCTGAGGGATCTATTTTTTCATTAAAAAAAGCTCATTTTACAAGAGACTCTAGTAGTTTTGGCATTACCAGCACCTCTTGCAAAAACCAGCCTGGAAACTAYAGTTTATCCTGCCAAATGCCTTTTGTACATATGGTGTTTAACAGTGCTTGGTAAGTCTGTAAGCCAATAATAATAGATTTCAGCTAAAATCTGGAAACACACATATATGTAACACAAAAATTTAAATCGTGTTACATGTGCATATATATATTTATTTACATACTCACATAACATATATAAAACTAGTATTCTAAATATTCTTTGGATTAATATACTAACTATAACACTGAAAAAAAAGCCTTCTTTCAACCTGCATTAGCTTCCCGAAATACAATTTTGCTCCCATTGACATGAGAGCTAGAACTTCCAATAACCTCCGCAGCACAGAATAAGGCCACCAGAAATGCAAATAAAGCATATATTTAAAGACACGAAGTATATATTTGTAAAATCTTCTAACTATGCAAGGACAGGACCAAGGACAGACTTGGCACACTCTCACGTTAGGCTCCCCAGAATATTTCTAAAACACAAATGAAAACAGGGAAAACTCTCACCACTTTCAAAGCAGGCGTCAAAAGTCAGGTGGCCCTTCTTAGGCTGCCCGCAGGAACCGGCCGGCAGGACGGTGTGCTTGCTCACGTTCCCTGCTATAACATCATCACCGCCCACGTCACCTGCTGCAGTACAAGCAAACAAACAAACAAACGTGACAAACGTGAGTATAAAAGAAGCAAACAAAAAAAACCTATAAGAAACACTGAAAAATGCTTTTCCACATAACAAGGAATTTGAACTAATTTAACATAGACACAAGCAAGGGCATTCTTAGGGCATTCTTTTTTTTTTTTTTTTTTTTTATATTTACCCCAATTTCTATATATTACTGGTACATGCATTAAATTTTCTGTAACTGCAAAACCATGCAAATATTCCCTTTAAGTCCTTGTTTTAGTGAGAGAAAGAGGCAAAAAGGGGAAGTTTGGGATGCCTCCTGCAGCCAGTCCCCATTGCACTGTGTTGCTGACAGTGGGGAGGAGCGAGAGATGTATCAGGGAGAGACAACATTTCCCCCTTTTCAAACTTTTGGACCCTTCCTCTAGTTTTCAATACGTTCCCATCAGCACTCAACTCAAAGAGAAAACAGAACGGTTTTACTGAAGCAGTGTGAGGTGGTTTAAATACAACACACACAGTGATGTGGATGATAAGATTTTAAATGGGCCTGGAGGTCTGAAAACAGGATCCTCCAGAGCCAAGGACTCGGCTCCAGCCCATGTCCCTTCCTTAGTGCATCTCAGGGAAGTCTTTTRGTCTGCACTCGTGACAATGCACATGACACAATCAAAATATTTTACTCTGTTCTGTAAAGTTGTTGCTAACAATAAGAACTGGGTTGTTACTTGAGGTTATGGAGACAGCAGCTTTCAAGATGTTCCCTCAGTCAGCAGCCTCACACAAAACCCTCGTCCCGTTAGCTGCGCAACCACAGACTTGTCACACAACCTGCAGTGCCCCAATGTGAACTTCGTCAGTGATGTGGGGAGGAAACACTGAGGTTTCATTTTATTTTGGATAGGGAAGGAGAGAGAAACATTACRTATTTTTCCGGGTTTATCCCTAGCTGCCTTGGTAGACAGCTTGGACTGTATTATTAAGTGGTGTTTGAGAGAGCTGGCTGTTAGATTGCTTAAAGCCATCTGGAATTCTGATCCTTAATTTTACTTTTTTTCTTGCACATTCACACATTGCATCCATTTTTAATTTTTCTTTATATCAGATAAATAATCTTATTGAGAAATCTATTGGCAATTCTATTATTCTGTTCCTCTTTTTTTAAACGTATTTTGAAGACACAATAGCATGATTCCTCTGTTCTCTTTTTGTGCAGGGGTTTGTTTCCTTTCTTTTTCTGCTTCATTCTTTTCTGCTTCATACCTTTTCTTCCTATAAACTCTCCTGGAAATATCTTCTCCCAATTTCCTGCTGATAAACTTTTAAGACTAGTTTAAAAAGCTAAATTAAAGCACAGTGCAATTTGCCAACTTCTTGCCTCCTGAACCTAAACATCTTAACTTCTGTAATTGTTAAGTTTTAGTGATGGGCATCTTTCCAATATTTTTTCCTCTTTTCCTTAAGCATAGCTGCATACCTGCTGTGTGCAATAAAGCATCATCTTCAGTTGGACTTCTCCTTCTCTCACAGGAGCCCTCTCCAATGTATATTGGGCATGGGTTCTCCAGCATTTCGGGAGCTGGATCCCTATTTCAGCCTCTTGCTCACTATGGGCATTAACAGGATCCTTCTGCTCTACCCAGCTGCCTGATTTCATGAATCTTAAACAAATTTAGARCTTTTGAGACTGTAACTCCCACTATTCCAATATTTGGAAATCGAAAGATATTAAAAAGGAGAGACATACACTCATAGAGGTGTACGAAAGACTGATTACCTGCCTTCCTTAAAAAAAGTCTCAGGAAAAAAGAACAGGAATGAAGAAACTTTTTGAAAAAAGGTTTCTCTATTTGATAATAAAATATATGAGGAAAGAAATTTTTTATACTACTACATGATGTCTCCCAAAATAGGTCTATAGTGTACATATCGAAAGCTTTGTCTAACAAACYGCAATACCCAAAATATGCTTTTCCAAATAGGGATGGAAAAACACAATGACATAGGGATTTTTTTAAATATTTGATAAATATAGAGTGGGAAAAGAAAACAAGTTATCATTTGCATATTTTATTATAGATGAATATGAAATAACAGAAGAAATGCATAAATATAACTATTTATCCCTGTGACATTGGTTCAGCACTTTCTTCTCTCTGTACTGTTTGGAAAACAAATATTTAACAACGGAAAAACTATCTTCTGCGTTAGAGAAAATGAAATGTGTAGAAGCCATATGATGGAATAATGGGATGATAATATCTTATTTCACTCTGATAAATAGGGCTACTGAGGCCCCTAGAAATAGACTTTTGGTCTGTACTGATTTTTTGACATTTAAATGGGTTACTGGGAATGATGAATGTGACATAGAGCTCAATTTGTTTTATTTTTATATTGAAAACTATTTCACACAAATGTTACAAGCAATTCATACTGGCCCTGAATGATGAAAACAGCTTATTAATTAAAACTGACCTTTCCATACATAAATGTATTCCACCTCTTCAGGCAAAACACCTTAGCCGAGGTAACAAATTATATCAATGTATTACTGACACCACAGCTAAAGGGTCTGTCAGGCTTTCTATTATACACCCATATTTCCAGAGATATATAAATCCTGAATTAAAAAYATGTACATCCAGGTTAACACTTGGCATATAAATTCCCACTCAGGAAAGAAATTTGAAACTTTATTCTCTTTGAGAACTACTGTAAAGGGGAGAAGTTACAAAGAGAACTTGCACCTTTTCTTACTTTTCACCAACCCCCCCCCCACAAAAAAAAAGACAAGTTGAACTGTGCTATTATTTTCACAAAACAGTTATTTGTGATTTCAAGGTATTTGTTTTAGACTGATTACCCATAGATAGAAATCTGGGTCACTTAGACTGTTTCTTCAAATGCAAAAGCCACTTGCTTACTGGTGCTATTTCCAGCTCTCTGTTTCCACCCCATGGAGCTGGCAGGACTGTTGATACAGGCTCCCCAAGTCCACTGGCACTGCAGGTAACCTCAGACCCGAGCAGGAGGTCGGGGCAGCCCTAGGGCCATACAGCTCAACACGCAGAGCCAAGGGCACGGGGAGAAATTAGAGAAAACCTGCAGATCTGCCCCAAGGATGGGAGACTTGGCAAGGTCCACAGTGAGAGTGGGAGCCAAGGAGCCTCCTGCAAACAGAGTGAGACGAGCCATCTCCTTCTCCTGCTCAATACTCACTCCTAAATGCCAGCTTATAGTACTAGGCCGCTTGCAAGTCCTAAAAGGCAGCTGGGAAATACTTCTTATGAAAAGATGGGAAAAAATGCAGAGAGATTATATTCATAATACTGCCACAAGACAGTGTGGAAGTTGGAAAAAGAGAGAGCTACATCTCCGCTGCCCTGGAGACTCACCTGGAGTCCCTATATGACGCAGAAGGAAGGCGCAAATTGGCTCAGCAAAGTGTCTCACCTGCTTCTCCCTGGCCTAGCGTCTTCCACTCAGGAGTGAGAAGAAAACCATCAAATAGCCATTAATTCAAAGTCACTTAATAATACGAATCTCCCCTTGTAGGCTCTTTATCACACAGTACTTTGAATATCCAGGGGGAAAAATGTACTATTTCGTAGCATATTAGATCTAACTAATCTCTAAAGGTGCAGAAGTGCAGTTCAGCCTTTGAGCTTGACRTGATTACAGAGCCCAGGTGCAACGGGCAGGCCCCGCACACGCCCGTTATCAGAGCAGGCTCCGTGTGCATGGAGCAGACGCAGGAGGTGCCGAGAAGGCACCACGGTCTCCACGCGGACACAAGCAGGGACGGTGCCTTGTGGCATGAGAGCTCTGGCTCAYACAGAGACACTGTCCTCACAGCTGGGGAGCCCCAAGTAGATTTTCTTGACTGAAGGCCAAGAGGAACGAGGGAATCTTGTGGGGAAAGGAAGCAGGACTTCCATCGGAAACAAAATTAACGGGCAGAAAGAGAATCAGCTGCAGCACATACTGCTCATTACTCTAAAGGAGATCGGGTTCTTCTTTGAGGAAGGRTTATATAAGACGAACAAGGGCAAAAAAAAACTAATAAAGAACTTTTCTCTGATTCTACTTCTTATTTTGTCCATTTTTTAAGAGGTTGGAAGTCACCCAGCTATTTTATGCTAATTCTTCATAGCTTAAACTCCTAGAGTCTCCAGCAAATCCCTTGGATTTACTTTTACCACAGTATTAAACGTTAATGGCAATTTTCTATCAAGCATAAAATCTGCAGGTGTCTGAAATCTATATAAGGTACTATATGAGGTTTTAAAATAAGACCTGAACAGAGTTTTCTGGTATCAACATTCATCACGGGGTTGTCATCGTGGATCTATTTCACATCAGAGCAGTGAAAATGAACAAATCAACTCTAAGAAACAAGTGCTCTGCAGAGGAAGAGTTTGGGAAGTTCCAGAACTTCTTACTATTCTCCAAAATTAAAAAAATAAAGCCAAGGGTGTTTTTTTCTTTCTTTTTTCTTCATTTAAGCAAAGATGAAAACATAGTATTTGCTGCAGACAGTAAATATTATGCAAATCTAGGTAGGAGTGTATTTTCTAAAAGCTGCAGAGTTTCTGGAGGGATCGCTCTCTTTAGCAAGCAATAGTTATTCTCTGAAATGGGTAAACAACAAGTCCACTTCCAGCTGTGACAGACTTCCGAATCCATGGAGTTACCAGCCAGCAGCTACGCTCATGCTACATTAGCTGGAAGGAAAGCACAGATGCATTAAAAGAGACATAGAAAAATACAGAGGGAATTTGCCTGGAAAACCCGCACCACTCGGATAATCAGACTTTCTGCCTAATAAGGGAAGCCAAGTAGAAAGGGCAGCACGAGGAGATAGGATAACGGCAACGCAATTTCAAAGTCTTCTCTAATTATTACAAATTCCAGCAAGAAGTCTCTCAACTTACTCTGTTATCAGATATTAATTTTAGAACAAAAATAGGTTATATTTTTATTACTGATTTTCTATCATTAGCAAAGCAGAACTACTACTGCCATTAACACGTTACCGTTTATTACATTAGGGAAAACAAAGAGGAAAAACAGTCCCTTGACTTTGGTAATTTTAACTTCACCTCTTCTGTATGGTCAGATAAACACGTACATAATTTTCTTTACAGAAAATAAGCAAATTGCTTAAACTTTGATGATGTATTTTCTTTATAACTAAATCATTTCTAAATGGAATAAAAGTGGTTTTAACTGTGTTTTGAAGCAGAGATTTTAAAATGCAACTCTGCCAGCAGCTCATTCCCTTTACATATACTGGCCAACTAAGATAGAAAATTTCCATTGTTTATGGATCTGATATCCATCTTCTCATCCTCCAGGGGCAATGCGAAGTTCTCAGATACCCCAGCAAA